AGTGCATATTTATTTAGAAATCACTTTAAAGTTCTTAGAGATTTGTATCTCTTTTCTTCTGAGCTTTCTGTGGGCAATGTACTAGAAATGCTTCCTTAGAAATGTTCCGAGTGGTAACACTTCTTCCCCTTGCAACTAAAACACAGAACAAACCTCAGCAATCCCCCATATTCTTACTGGTCTGAACAAGTGAGGTCTGAAGTTTAAGCTTCATTACCTTAGTTGTAAAGTTAACTCTGTGACAAGGTAACCCTTTTAATTTGGCTGAAATAATCGTTTCAGAAGCATGTTCTAGAAAATGCTGATATATAAAGTTTTATCTAGTTCTGTGCCTTAGAGAGTTGAAACTAATATATCAGATAGTTATGGCGTTATGGAGAAAATTAATTTAGGAAAAGGAGATAAAAAAGTGCCAAGGAGGGGACAGCAATTGAAAAGATGGTGGTCAGGGAAGGCCTCATTGAGAAAGTGAATTTGAACAGGTGTCTGAAGAACATGATGGGCCCTCCAACCTGACGCATGAGAGGAGAACATTCTGCTCTGCAGAGGAGCTTTGCTCTGACTGTGGAGCAGAGATTTGGGGCAGTAGATGGAGCAGCATATAGGGAGAAGAGAGCTTTTTATTTAGATGGAAGAAATTAATAGATGTTTGAATGCTAATGGGGTTGTTCTGGTAGTGAGGGGACAATTTATTATGTAGGAGACAGGAGTAAATTGCTTGATGATATTGGAAAAGCTGGCCTTGGAAGCTCAGCATATGTGGCTCAGAGAAAAGACAGATTTATGCACAGAGATGAAGGGATTTGTGTTTGCTTGGGAGCATGAGAAAGGTTTCTTCTGATTTCCCAGGAGGCATACTGCCCTGCAAACTCATAGCTGGGTGGGTGGACTATGTCTTTGTGGGCAGAAAAGGGGGCCTCTTGCCTTAGGAAGACACCACTCTGCACTGGGGCACAGGGCTTGTTGAGCAGAGTTTAGTCTGCATTTCCACCCCACTCATCCCTCAACTGAGTATCCTTGTGCAACGTACAGCTGTTCAATCATATGCCGTGGTCCTGCTTAACTGAAATAGGAACCTCCATTTTTTAGTTCCAAGAAACACTTTGAATAGTACTGAGGTAAAAAGTAATAATGCAAACGTAATGCTTTTGTTATAATGTGGGGCAACAACCCCCCTCTCAGCCAATTAAATGAAACAACTTCACACAGGCTACTTAAATTTTTAAAAATCAAAGAAAATACTAAAACCACAACAAAAACAGCAGCAAAAAAAGAAAAAAAATAAAAAAGAACATACTGTTGCCATAAGAAACATCCAAATCTATAGAGAATTTGTATGAGTTTAATTGAGCCAAAACTGACAATTTCCAGGAAATAAGATCTCAACTGCTCTAGAGAGTAACAGTTTTTCAGTTTCTTTTATGCATTTTAAAGTAAGGAACTGATATAAGGAATATGACATGAAGATGGGAGAAAGCAAGGCAGATGTTGAATCACAGGATAGTTAATAGATTATGTGCTGTTTGAGGGTGGTTATGGCTTGTTTCAAAGGTATGTTTACCTAGATGCACAGTAACAATGGACAGGACTGCTTAAGGCAAAGATAAACCCTTTACTAAAAAAGTTATATGCCTGGGGTGTGACTATCCACCTTGACCTGCCTAGCTATGAATTTATGATCAGATCACCCTCTGAGGTTACTTTCTGTAGAATCCTTTTTGTCCACCATACATTTGAAAATTTACCTCTACAAGTAAAAGAATATTTTACACAACAATTCTTTTACATTCTCAAGTAAATTTAAAAATATATAAAAGCTGCACTGGAAAGACAACAAACTGAGAAGAAAAAAGTGTGCAGTGTGATAAAAATAATCACGACAGCACTGTAAGCAGTAATTAGTAGAAGACACATGCAGAGAATTAAGTTCATCATGAGAAGACTATCTAAATATTTATCAACAAAATTATATATCTTGATAAAATTAATTATTCACCAATAATTCAAAGTTAAAGACAATTTGGTATGGTTATTGGGCATTGTAGAATATACATTTAACTTTTGAGTTTGTGAATTCAAAGTGAAACAAATCCACAGTATGTCAAATTCTGAAGCAGTATTTGTCTGAAGGTAGTAGACATGAAGAAGACACAGGCTGTTTGGACCCCTCCCAGTGCAAGATCTTATCACATAAGTGCAATGGAGGAAGAGAGGGGCAAGGTGGTTGAAGTTATTTTCAAGGAGTGACTATAATAGTGGGCCATGCAATCTAACTGGAATAAAAAAGGAAAAGGAGTCATTGATGAACTTGGAAAATATAGAGGGATCACTGGATGGGAGGTGATGATGAGGTCTAAGAAATACAGCAGATAGGACATTAAAGCCAGTGATTCAGAAAGACAGGAGATGATCTGAGTGGGATATTAGAAATAGAGATTCAGGAGGTTGTCCACCTGCTGGCAGTGACAAGAATATGATGGGAGCTTCTGGTAGGGCCTCCTTCCAGTTTTCCCCAGTGCATTGATCACATCAGGATCTCCTTAGAAAGTGTCCATATGGTGTATTCCACAGAGTAGCAGATCTGGGTAATATATGTAAATAAAAATAAACAAGCTATTTCTGCAGTATGAACTGCAATCCCCTAGTGGAAAATTAAATATTTGTTAAGCACCTATCCAGAACAAGACACAGAATCAAGTGCTGGGTATACAGCAGCCACCAAGAAAGATATTGCCCTTGTTTCTATGGAGCTTATATTTGAGTTGGGAGACTCATTTAAAACGCACGCGCCCGCGCACACACACACACACACACACACACAATCAAGCTAGGTGCTGCAAGACAAAGTACAGGAGCGGAACTTAATCCCAGGGTGGGAAGAATAGCCTCAGGCATTTAAACTGAGATTTAAACAGGAGTACAAGAGGTAAAAAAAAAAAAATTAGGCAAAAAAAATCTAGGAAAATATTTTCTTTTCTCTAAATAGTAACTATACCTCAAGGCAAATAAACCTGGAAGTAAAAATCAGGGTGTTAACATTCATTTCACTCTGGCTCTGTTGTAATGTCATAAAAAGCTGTTTATTGGGTTTCAATTTTTAATTTATGCCATAAAAATTATAAAGCAGAATATAAATATTATCCTTCCCAATATAAACATAGAACCCAGCAGCTGAGAGAGAGAGGGGAGAAGGAAGGGATAAAGCCATATTGAAAATGAAAATTCTCCATCTTACCTTGTGAACCAATACCTTAAACTGATTAATCAAGAAATAAATATCTACTTTTCAGGGGTAAAGGCAAAGAAAAAAATTATTTTTCTTTGGGGACTATTGAGAATACTCCCCAAATACCAAAAACAGTCATAAATAATCCCCAAAGATTAAACAGTATAGACTGAATCACTTAAAATTATAATTATAAAAATATTAAAACATTCCTTAACAGAATAAAGACTATTCCAAATAAATAAAGCAATTACAATTCAACATAGTACTCGTAGTCTCAGAGTAATTAAGCAAGAATAAAAAATAAAAGTATCTAAACTGGGAAGGAAGAACTAGAACTTTCACTATTTGCAGATGACATGATTCTATATGTGGAAAACCATACTCCACCAAAAGACTATTAGAAACAATAAAGTACAGTAATATTGTAGAATACAAAATCAATATACAAAAATCCATTGCATTCTTACATATTAACAATGAAATATCAGAAATAAAAATGAAGAAAATAATCCCACTTACTATTGCAACAGAAAGTATAAAATACCTGGAAATAAACTTAACAAAGAACCTCTACACTGAAAACATAATTGAAAAAAAATAGAGGACACACAAAAAATATAAAGATATTCAGTACTCCTAGATTGGAAGAATTGACAATGTTGAAATGGCACATTAACTGAAGTAAAACACAGATTTAAAGCAATCCCCATCAAAACCCCAATGGCATTTTTTACTGAAATAGAAAAAAAATCATCAAATTTCTATGAAACCAAAAAGATTCTAAATAGCCAATGCAATTCTGAGAAAAATGAACAAAGTCAGAGGTATCATACTCCCTGACTTCAAACTATACTACAAAGTTACAATAATCAAAACAGTATGTTATTGGCTGAAGGAGAGACACACAAACCAATGAAACAGAATTTAGAGCCCAGAAATAAACCCACACATATGTGGACAACTAATTTTCGACAAAGCAACCAAAAACATACAATGGAGGAAGGGATGTCTCTTTTCAATAAATGGTGTTGGGAAAACTAAAGAACCACAGGCAAATGAATGAAACTAGACTTTTATCTAACACCATACACAAAAATTACTCAAAATAGATTAAAAACGAGTATAAGACCTGCAACAATAAAATACACGAAAGAAAACTTAAGCACTAAACTTAACAACATTAGTTTCAGGAGGGTTTTTGTAAACTTTACACCAATGTCAAGAGAAGTACATGCAAAAATAAATGACCACTTTGTAAGTTATATAAATGTTTAATCCCTGGATTGTACAGCCAAAACTAATATTATATTGTATATGTTATCATTTTAAAAAGTTTTAATATTAAAAAATGAATAAATGAACGGGACTACATCAAACAGCTTCTGCACAGCAAAAGAAACAATCAACAAAGCAAAAAGGCATTCAACCAAATAGGAGAACATACTTGGAGAAATGAGACCTCCAATGAGGGTTAATATCCAAAATATATAAAGAACTCATACAACTGAACAACAATCCAATTAAAGAATGGATAGAGAATCTGAATAGACACTTTTCCAAGGAAGACATACAGGTAGCCAACACATATAAAAAATGATGCTCAACATCACTAGTCACCTTTTCCCAGATTGGGCTGGTTGGCTCTGGTTACTGCAAAGGTGACTCACTTCATTCGGTCTTTTTGATACTTTTACATCTGGAGACTTCGCAAAGCTTTTCTATCTTACCATTTACCTCTTGAAGTGTTTTTTCTCTCCTTCAACTCAACAAGATGAGTGTGGATTCGGCTTCTCCCCAAAGCCTGCCCTGCCCTGAAGCATCCAATTCTAGGGAACCTTCACCCGTGCCTGAGATTTACGAGCCTGAAGAAAACTATGCATCCTTGCAAATGTCATCTGCTGAGACACTCCACACTGAGACTGTCTCTCCTCTTCCTTCTTCCATGGACCTGCTTATTCAGAACAGCCCTGATTCTTCCACCAGTCCCAACTTAATGCTGCCCACTGCTGCAGAGGACAGTACAGCGAGGGAGGAAAAAGGTCAGGTCAAGAAACAGAAGATCAGAACCGTTTTCTCACAGACCCAGCTCTGTGTACTCAATGAGAGATTTCAGAGACAGAAATATCTCAGCCTCCAGCAGATGCAAGAACTTTCCAACATCCTGAATCTTAGCTACAAACAGATTAAGACCTGGTTCCAGAACCAGAGAATGAAATGTAAGAGGTGGCAGAAGTACAACTGGCCAAAGAATAGCAACCGTGTAGCTCAGATGAGCTCAGCAACTACAGAGTACCTGGGCCTCTCATCCTATCATCACCAGGGATGTCTGGTGAATGCTTCTGGGAACCTTTCGATGTGGAGCAGCCAGACCTGCAGTAACCTATCTTGCGGCAACCATTCCTGGAACAGCCCATCTTGGAACTACCATTCCTGGAATAGTCAGACCTGGTGCCCCCAAACCTGGAATAACCAGGCTTGGAACAACAAGGCCTGGAACAATCAGTTCTATAGTTATGGAGAGGAATCCCTGCAGCCCCAAATCCAGTTCCAGCAAACTCCCATCAGTGATTTAGAGGCCACCTTGGAAACCACTGGGGAAACCTATGATGCAATATTGCAAACCCCTGTGTATTATAGTACCCAGCAGACCATGGATTTATTCCCAGATTACTCCATGAACATGCAGCCTGACTCCACGAACATATAGCCATGAACATCCAGTGTGACGATGGGTAATTACTCAGTCTCAATTTGGGCAGTGGCTGTATCTCTCCTAGGAATTTTTTTCCTCCTAGGATTTTTCTATGTGTCTCTTTCTTGAGATGCTGCTTCTCATTATGCCTATTATGCCAATTTGGAGGGGTGGGGGTTAGGTATGATGAGTCTTAATCAGAGATTTCTGTAGCCTTGCTGCTGTAGACATGTAAGATGTCTCTGGCTGTAGATAATTAAATATAATACTATTTAGAATCACTCTAGGGTGTAGAATCTGAACCTCAAGAATAGAAAGTAAAATACAAAGATTTTTCATAGAAGATTATCTGTGTTTTCTGGGACTGGGAGGCTTGTTGAAAACCTCAGTTCAGGTGAATGGTTAAGCTACAATATCCTTCACTGATTTCCTCTGCCCCTTTTACTGTTTTACTACAACCCCCAATTTATTACTCAAGTATTTGTAAAAGATGTTTTGTATTTTGCTGTATCGTGATACCAGTTTTGGCTGGTTGGTTTAGAAGTTTAAATACAAATAAATAAAACATCTATTTTCCCATTAAAAAAAAAAACAAACAAACAAAAAAAAAACATCACTAGTCATAATTGAAATGCAAATCAAAACCACAATGAGATACCATCTTATACTTGTTAGAATGGCTATTATCAATAAGACAAGGAATAACAAGTGTTGGAGAGGATGTGGAAAGAAGGAAACCCTCACACACTGCCAATGGGACTGTAAATTGGTGCAGCCATTATAGAAAGCAGTATGTGGATTCCACAAAAAAAAAAAGAAAAGAAAAAAAAATCAAGAATAGAACTACCATATGACCCAGCAATCCCTCCTCTGGGTATCTACCAGAGAAATTAGAAAACACTTATTTGTGAAGATATATGTACTCATATGTTCATTGCAGCCTTATTCACAATAGTGAAGATAAAGAAACAACTTAAGTGACCTTTAACAAGTGATTGGATAAAGATGTGGTGCATATATACAGTGGAATACTACTCAGCCATAAAAAAGATGAAGTACTGCCATTTGTGACAACATGGATGGATCGTGATACTATTATGCGGAATGAAATAGGTCAGATGAAAAATGACAAGAATCATGCATACCATTTCATTTATATAAGGATACAAAGAAAAAGCAACAAAGGAACAAACAAAACAAACATACAAACAAAAAACCAAACTAATAGATACAGACATCTGAAGGTGGTTACCAGAGGGGAAGGGGGAGAGGATGAAGAGGGTAAAGGGGGTTAATGACATGGTGACAAAAGGAAACTTCACTTTGAGTGGTGAGCACACAGAGTATTCAGATGTCATTTTATAAAATTGTACCACCTGAAATTTATGTAATGTAATTAACCAATGTTACCCCAACAACTTTAGTTTTTACAGTTTTTTTAAACAGCATGAACAAAATTAAAATTCAAAAAAATAATAAGAGGCATTTGTGCCCTGGCCAAGTGGCTCAGTTGGTTGAAGCACCCTACCGTACACCTAAAAGGTGGTCGATTCATTCCCAGTCAGGGTATACACCTAGGTTGTAGGGTCAGTCCTCAGTTGGGGCACATGTGGGAGGCAACTGATAGATGATTCTCTCTCCCACGGGTGTCTCTCTCTCTCTCTCTCTTCCCCCCTCCCTTACTCTCTAAAATCAATAAACATATCCTCAGGTGAGGATTAAAATTTTTTTTTTTTCATATAAATACATATATATACACATATATACATATATGTATATATGAAAAAAGAAACATTTGTAACAAAAACTTTAGCTACGTTTTCAAAATTTCTTATATACAAATCATAACTATGAATTAATAGAAGATAAATGTTCTAATGTCTGCACAGAGTAAGAATAGGCTGACATAGAGAAAGCAATAAATATAAAAACATGTACAACTTTACTAATAGTTAAACAATGCTAATTTAAATAACAATGCAATTAGATGACAAATGTGAAAAAGTTTGATAATAGTGGGAGTTGGTAAAGATTTTGGAAATAGGAAATATCATACATTATTGTTGAGAGTATAAGTCAATAAACATTTCTGGAGACAAATCTGAACACAGATTCAAATTTTCAAATATAGATAACACTAGATGTAGAACTGCATATTTTAGAAAATTATTATAAATAAAATAATAGGTAAATTGCATAAATATAAAGAAACTAGGAAATTTTTTAGTGCTGATTACAATAGAGAATAATCAGAAATATCCCAAAAATCTAGCAATAAAGGTATGGTATAATGAATTATATATGACAAAGCAGTTACAAATGATAATATAAATCACTTATTTATTGCCATAGAGAGATGTCTACAGCACATTGTTAAGGGAAATTTCATGTTAAATTTGTATGCTTTTGCTGGTATGCGAATGCATGTAAATACCATTATTTATCTCAGTAATAAACTGACACGTTTATTTATTGTTCCACCAACAATACACAGTACCTCTTGGCCTTCCTATCTTATAATTATGAAAGCTGCACCTCTAACTTTCTTTTACCTTTTCCCCACTTACCATCTCCCTACTTCTGTCACTTGTAATTTTAATTCTACTTTATCAGGGGTGACAATATTTATGTTTTGTTTTGTAACTACAACCAATCATTTCACACTTTGTCTTTATTGAAAAACAATAATGCTTGTATCATTATGCCTTTGTAATTATAGGCTCTGCTGTGAACAATAACTCAAAATCATAAATGTGCAAACACTATAATATACATTATTGTTTTTCCTGGAATGTCTAATACATTTTTTTTTTAAATTGACTCCTTTCCTCCTTGCACCCTTATCACACACTTAGTTTCTTTGAAAACATTCTTTTACACCAGCTCCTAGAAACTCCCTCCCTTCTCTCCCCACACAGAATTCCCTGTTGGCATCTTCGGTCCTTGAGCTCCCTTCTGGATGGCTGCTCTCCGGATGCACCAAATCATGCTTCTGAAACTTCAGGTCTTTGCTCTTCTCGATTGCATTACCTTTTTCTGGGTGTCATTTCTTTCCTTTCTTGCTTATTTTTGGGAATATGTCTTCGACTAACTTCCTTAGGAGAGTGCTTGGGAGGTAACATGTACAAATTCTTAAATGTATGGTTTTATTCAGCTCTCAGATTATACTTATTCTTTGGAGATTTTAATATATTTTTTATTCCTTCATAATTTTGAAAGTATTTCTAATGAAAGATAATATACAATGGAAAGTGTCCAGACCATATATAAAAATAGAACTCTGACCAACATTGCAGCAACCAGCCTAGGAACCATTTTCTATAATAACCAGCCCAGGGAACTAGCCTCCGTGTAAGAAGTCACATCAGTATCTCCCACAAAGAGCCAGGAAGATCAAACAAGAAACCCTGCCAAAATTGGCCCAGAATGGCCAGAAACTGATTAATAACTGAAAACTTCTCTAATTTTTGTCACCACTTTCAATTTAGTTCCAAATAGAAAAAGCCAAACATGCACCCCTAATCAATCATAGGGTACCTGGCTTCTAGGTAGCCTACCTACGGCTTCCCCGGGCAAGCAGCATCCAATCAGGGCAAAACTGAAGCCTCCCTTTCTTCCACCGCAATTCTTTCCCACTCCACTGCCTGTCTTTGAGTTTCTGAGTTTTTTGCCAAACCAAGTGATGTTTCTTGCCAACACCAAGTGATAGTAGCTGACTCCCTTGTTATACAAAAACTGAGCAAATAGCTTTTGCTTATTCACATCTGAGTGGTCTTTGTTTACTTCTAAGTTATGTAGAGATTTCTAGAATATAAGGCTACTGAGAAGCCTGATAACAGTGTGACTTTAAAAAATAACAGCTTTGTTAGGATAAAATTTGCACATACATGCAATTTACTCATTTAAAGTGTAATGGCTTTTAGTCTAGTCTAAGAGTTGTGTAACCACATTCACAAAATTTTAGATTATCATCTCCCCAAAAGAAACCTGTACCCATTAAACAGTCACTCTCCCAGCCTCTCCAAGCCCCTACATCACTGGCAACCCCTAAACTACTTTCTGTCTATATAGATTTGCCTATTTTAGACATATAATATAAAAGCAATCTGAAATATATGATCTTTTGTGACTGAACTCTTTCACTTAACATAATGTTTCCAAGGTTCATCTGTGTTGCACCACGTATCAGTACTTCATCCCTTTTCATGGCGAGATAATATTCCATTGTATGAATATACTACCTTTTGTTTATTCATTCGTCAGTTAGGTTGTTTCCATTTAAATATTTAAATATTTTCTTTATACAGCTACTGATTTTTGCCGTCAGTTACATTTTAATGCATTCCCTTTTTCCAACATATCATCCTTATTTTATAAATGCAATATCTCTCTAACATATCTCTAAAGATACTAGGTATAGAGACAATTTTCAAGGTCTCTTCTGTTTCCTGGATTAACTATTCTCTCTCTGGCCATTGTGGCTAATTATTAGTCTTGATCTTTCTCTTTGACATTCCTCATTTGTCTGATCATTCTTAATTGCCTATTTGAATTTTAGGTCAGACAACAGAAAATCTAGCTGAGGTCTTTTTATTGATGAGCAGGAGTTTAATCATTCATCTTATGTTGAGTCAGGAACAAGTCAACCGTTATGATTGGTTGAAATATTGAAGGTTTCACTCTAGGATGCCGAATCACATTAACTGTCCTAGTTTTACCAGATAGTTCTTTTCATTTCTATAGATAAGGAGTCTCCTTTCATTTCTTTTATTATAGTAAGTATACATAAAATTTGTCATTTTAACTATGTTAAAGTGTATAGTTCAGTGGCATTAAGTACATTCACATTGTAAAACTGTCACCACTATCCATCTCCAGAACTTTCTCAACATCCCTTACTGTGACTCCCTACCCATTAGACAACAACTCCCTACTCACCCATCTCCTCAGTCCCTGTTAACCACTGTTATACTTTCTGTGTCCATTTTTATTTAATTTTTACTTTTTGTTTGAAA